CCCTCAAACTGACGGTCAGTCCGAAATTACAAACAAGGCAGTGGAACAGTACATCAGGCACTTTACAAGCTACAAGCAAGATGATTGGTCAATGCTCTTACCAACTGCAGAATTTGCGTACAACAACAACGAGCATGTTGCGATAGGTATGTCTCCGTTTAGGGCTAACTACGGCTATGATGTAGGATTTGCAGGAGTAGCGTCGAGTGGACAACAAATCCCACTGGTTGAGGACAGGTTCAAGCAATTACGTGAAGTGCAACAAGAATTGAAAGATTCATTATTGATTACGCAAGAAAATATGAAGAATCAATTTGATAAGAAAGTACTGGAAACACCAAAATGGAAAATCGGGATGAAGGTTTGGTTAAGTAGCAAACATATATCAACTACGAGACCAACCACGAAATTCTCTCACCAATGGTTAGGACCATTCAAGATAAGTAGTAAAATATCAACTAATGCTTACAAGTTAGAATTACCAATGTCGATGAAAAAAGTTCACAATGTTTTTCACGTAAATTTATTAAGAGAATTTAGGAAAGGCACGATCAAAGGTCAAGAAGCAACACAACCACCGCCAATTGTGATAGAAGAAGAAGAAGAATATGAGGTCCAGGAGGTATTAGACAAAAGAAGAAGAGGAAAAGGGAAAATGGAGTATTTAATCAGTTGGAAAGGATATGATTCAAGCTTTGACACGTGGGAACCGGAAGAAAATTTGAAGAATGCGAGTGAGTTAGTAAAACAATTCAATTCAAAATATCCAAATGCAGATGAAAGTTATAGAAAGGCAAAGGGGTACAAGTGAGGGTTATGGCTTTTTCCCACTGGGTTTTTTAATGCCAACCCGGGGAAAGATTCTAACCTGCAAGAGGGGGTTGAGTCATAAAAGGGGGAGTGATGTTATGAGCCTATAAGACTATGCTTATACTGAGTTACTGGATAGTTCTTCAATATCCACGTTCACTATTGTACTAGTTCTTCACGTTGCAATCTATACACTAGGCAGCAACACCCTTGACTCTATCCTGGCACGTCTCTTACATGGGGTCACCCCGGTACATTTCCAGGCTCGAGACCCCCCCCACAGTATTCTCAACTTAGGAATCCTGAGTTAGGATAGCATAAGGCTGAGAACGGAGATAGGAGTAAGATACATGTATTACATATTAGTATATTACTCATATCTGAAAATAGAAAGCTCGTAATCCTAGCACTTACCCAATAGTAGAAATAGAAGTTATTCCATTAAAAAGCACCCCAATCTCTTGGGTTTCAAGTAAGTTGTGGGGGGGTTTTTGAAATCCTAAAAACAGTCAATTTTGTGGTGAATGGCTTTAACACAACTCCTTGTCCAACCTTGTAGCTCTCAAAGTCACCAAAACACCCTTGTACTATGTTCAACAGGTTGGTTGATCAATGTTCAAACACTGTCAGGTGTTCTAAATTGACAATCTCACTTTTCACAATATCAGATGTTTGCTACCTATCTGGGAGATTGTTATCTACCATCTAACCTACCTTCGAAGTCAGGAAAAGTGGCCTGCTATTTTAAAGGTACAAGGACAAAGATTAGAACAGGACCCTTTGATGTTTGGATCTGTAATGCTGATTACATTTACCCTACACTTAGATCACAAATGCTCATATAACCCTGCACAATATCTCTAAACTTACCCTTCACTCCTCATGGACAAGTCACCACATAAGCATTTCAGGGCTCAGGCAGCTCTCGCAACAATCCACCAGTGGCTAGTAGTCTTCCAACACAATCAAATACCAAAATTTCATATGTTTTGTGTCCTCAAACTGTGCCTGTCATGGCCATCCCAAAGAATGGAAAATGGGATTGAAAACTTTCAATCATTTTTCAAGCATATCATTGAATGGAATATGTATATCTTAGACTTATACTTTAGGTGATTTTGCTTCACTCTCTAATCATTATTAGCATTGATTTTGTGTTTCTTAGATTTTAATCATACAATAATTGATCACACATTGAATTCATTAAAGATAGAGCTCCCAATGAAGTAAGACAAAGCATTGTCCAGAAATATATCATATCTTGGAATGCAAAGAGGATCCAGCACCACCCCCAAGATAAAATATCTATGCTTTTCTGATCAAAATTCTCAGCACCCCTTCACAACTGGAGTTCAGACTAAAATGAGCCTCTTTGCTAGCTTAACACAAGTGCCACCCCGTGCAGGACCCTCACCTCTCTGTTGGCTTGGAGGAAGGACTTTGTTAAGTGGGTCATTTTTGTGGTGTGCTATCAACTTGGTTGTTGATGGACCCAACCCCCTTCATGAGTGGACCCTTTCCTGTTTTCTTCTGTGAAGTGGCAAAAGCTTATGTGCGGCACCTGGCGGCACTAGTTGAGTTGGTACAGCGTGACTTAATTTAATGTTTGACAGTGGTAAGTTTGGAAGTGGTTGTACATCCACATGGTGGGTGTGGCACAAAAAGTCAAAATATAGGGTGTACACGCCCTCTCATCAGCTTTGAGCTTTTTCTTTTGTTCTTGGAATTTCTCACACTTTTCTCACAACCACCACCTACAATCATGCCAAAGGGCCAATTGGTATAGAAATCTTTCAAATTGTTGTAATGACAATACCGCAAGAGCACCGCACTATGTTGCAGTTGTGGTGCGGTTGCGTAGCGCTTTTGGGCGCCGCAATAGCAACGCAATATAGTGCGGTGCCAGCGCTCCGCAATCCGGGTTCAAAAAACCCCTTGGTCAGAAACCCGCACCACAATTGCGGTCGGTTTTTGACGGTTATTTAGGGCAAATATTGCGGAAATAGGGCAATATTGCGCATTTTCCGCAATATTTGCCCAACCGCTCCGCAACGGCAAGTTACAAAAAAAACACCCCATTGCGGAGTGGTTGCGTAGCGTAATAATGCGCCGACTGCGCAACGCAATGGAAATAGGTTGAAATCCATTGCGTTGCGTAGCGCTTGCGGTGTTGGTAATGATGAATTTGAACAAAAAGATGATTCTAGTAGAGAAGCATCAATACAAGATGTTACAATCACTTGTTTTGAAAATAACTGCTTACATGAGTTTTAGTTTGATGTATGTATGATTGAATCAGATTTTACTTGGGTATTTTTTGGTAGATTGATTTTTTTGAATTGAGACTTGAACCCTTACCAAACTTACATGAGGGGCGGTGAAGTGAAATAACCATTTTCCAAATACAGTCAAACCCTTCTAAAGCTGTACCACTCTAAAGCCTTAACCCGTCTATAGGCAGGGTTTTTTGGTTCTCCCAAGTTGGGAGGGGCCAAAATTTGATAAAATCCCATAGTTTCTGCCTAACACATTAACCCATACCTAGAATTCAGAAAAAACCCTATCTTTTCAATGTAAAGCCATAGAAAAGTGGTCAATAGGGAGGTAGGAATCCTTAAATTCTTGCTCCTGAGTATTGGTGTACCAATCAGGTACACACCATGACTGAAAGAAGACAATTTGTCACCACCAGAGCACTATGGCATAGTGGTCATACTGTTTGACAAAGCAAATTCACTTTACATCACACAGATTGGGAATCCAATCTATGTGGCTGTCTCTTCCTGCTCAGACAACCTTCTAAAGCCATGTTGTTCATGTCTTTAGAGGGATCTTTTCTATGGCTGTAGAGAGACCACCCTCTAAAGCCATGTCTTTCATGCCTTTAGAGGGATTTCAATGTATAGCTATGAATGTATGCCTATTGAGGGGTTCCCCAACAAAGACATAACCCCTCTATAGCCATAGGTGTGCCTTTCCCCAAGTGGTATGGCTTTAGAAGGGCTTGACTGTAACAACAAGATTATAATTGAGGTTTAATCTCTTCAAAGGGTCTACTGGCATTTAATAATCTAAAAATTTCATGTGATTGTAATTTGATTTTTAATCTAAGAACTAATGTATCAGCTGATGGATTAGATGCACCACAAACTAAAATACGGCTTTCTGGATCACTTAAAGTTAATAAGACTTGAAAAAATGCTTCTGTGATTGTTTTAGTGTAATTTGCAAGAGATAAACAATTTGTTTGCCCTTTCAATAATTTTCAACATTGGTTATTCAATTTTTTCAATTTTTGATCTTGATTTTGCGTGCTCAAAAGGCGGGCCCTGACGCACGCAATATAAGTACACTGGGCGGGTCTCAAATCCAGACTCCGCACCCACCACGTGATTGTACATACGGACTGGGGTGCGGGTTCAAGGGGCCTCCTGGAAGCCGGGTTTACATCGGTTTGGGGGCGGGTGGCGGGGGGTTTTTCAGATTCGGGTCGGGGAACGGGTAGGCCCCTACCCGCGTTTTTCGGGCTGGGGCTCACCCTGATTTCAAATTCCACTCCGCCACGCACACAAACACATCACACCCCATCACACCTGAGCACATCTCAACACTCACGATCTCAATTCGTTTCATTTCCAAAAATATGTACCACCCACCCACCCGGCAATGTCGACACTGCTAGTTTTGCGAAGTGGAAAGGTTTTTCTCATCCAGGCAAACCAGGCGGCCGCCGGCGGCGCCCCCCCATAAAGCTTAAGTCTGACGTATGAAATATGACAGACTTGAGTCTGGACTCTGGTTCTCTCTGGTTGGTGTTTTAAAGATGTGATAAACATCGAGCTAACAAACCATAAAACGAAATGGAATAACGGGTAAAAACGACGGAGTTCACACTATGTACATACATAGTTCACATTCCCATCACCCCGGGAATTGAATTGTCTGCTCTCACGCTTGCAACTTTGAACAAGATGCACCCTTGAAACCTTCAAGTTGTCTTTGAGCTTTTCACATCGTATTTTATGTTGTACCCCATTTTAATTTTATGTACCCAGCTGATTGTCATCCAAGTCTTATATTTTGGCACAGCTTGTCATCTCTCAGTGCCATAGAAATAGTTACGTTTCATCTTTTTGAGCTTCGTATCTTGATCGACTTCAACCCTGATACTTCACCGCTCTCGAACTTCGATGTCTGTTCCAAGCTATCAATGTGATCTTACTTCAAATTGGTCTCCCATCTCTGAGCATGGAGAAGCCTCTACTCCTAGTTCTGCATTAGGGCACGGCGAGGAGAAATACCCTTCCGATCCAGATTTCTTAAAGGACGTGTCTCTCGTGGTTATTGGTGACTTAGAGCCAGTAGAATCTCAATGCCCCCCAGAAATAAGCACCTTCAAAACAATCTCAATCATTGTAGTTTGCCTGCTTGGTTATATTCTCTGTGTGAGTTGTGGATTTTTTCCAGTCTCTCTTGTTTACCGTATAAAGACCACAGTTGTTATGTTGACTGATGGGTGGATGTTATACAGAATATGTCGCAGCTATCTGTAAATGTCATTCTACCTGTGATGCAAAAAGATTTCGGTAAATTCGATATTTGCAAAATACTATCACAAGATCAGAAGGGCTCATATTGAGGTTGCGATTTCCATCATTGTAGACGCCAGGCATGCGGATGTGCAATGGATATCAAGTACCTTCAAGCTTGGTTATTGTAGCTTTCTGCTGTTGACGGGTCGCTTGGCCGATACTGTGAGCCATTTTTTGTATTCCTGTTGACTGCGAACCTTTATAAAGATCGTCGCGTCTTGCTTACAATTTATCAATTTTCTTTTCGCTCAAACTGATGTGTAATTGACCTCGATCGAAATTGCCAATATACAGTACGGTCATAAGTTTTGCCTCCTGATTGGACTATTTCTTTTCGGAGCATCATCACTTGGTTGCGCTGCTGCTAGAGATCTATATCTGATAGCGATTTTCCGGGGAATACAAGGAGTTGGTTCAGCTGCGATCTCGCCGTCCCTTCTTGGAATCCTTTCTACTAGCTTTGCTGTTGGTACCCATGCTAGATCAGAAGCTTTTGCAACTTTTTCAACAGGTTCACCTTTTGGAACTGCTCTTGGACTATTTTGTGGTGGATTTGTGACTCATGACGCTTGGCTTGGTTGGAGAAAAGTTAGTAATCTGTCACATCTATGAAAATGGGTTTTTTCCACTGTACTTCATTCAACTAACTTGATGCTCTTTGTCGTCCAGTTCTTCTACGCAGCTTTCTCTTTGACTGTTATCATAAGCATTCTGTCATATCTAGTCCTGCCACCTGATCTACCTAGGGTAGTAGGAAAAGATAGAAAGCAATTCGACTGGTTTGGCGGTGGAATGGTTGCTATCGGACTTCTGACCCTAGTGTCATCGATATCAAGCCTTATGCATCATGGCTGGACTACCAATACTTTATTAGCACCTCTCTTGATTTCTATCTTCTTGCTTTGTGGATTCATCTTGTGGCAGCTTCACTTGGAAAGGAATGGATTTCAGGACCCTATTGTGAGAATATCATATTTGACAAACTATAGCGTAGGACCAGTGAATATCATAGCAGGGCTTCTCTGGGTGGCCTATGCGGATCAAAACTACTTTCTGAATCAATAGTTCGTGATTAGTTTCGATTAAAACTCGATGATGACACGCAACTCTATACAACTTCAGTAGACTTGTTAAACTGACATTGTTTTGAACATCTCGTTGACAGTTTTCAAGATTATTTACACCTCTCACTACAAGACACGTTGATCCGTTTTCTTCCAATGTGAGTTGATCCATTTTTCTGCTACTTCTCTCGGTAGCAGTGTAATCCTGCATTTCGCTTATCTAGTGTCTATGATTTCGTATACGAAGGTTGGCTGTGGCTATCATACTTTGTCTCATCACCGGTCGAGCTGCACACCGCTGGTCATCGCCTCTTTTAATCGTCATAGGATCCATAATGGCTACCGTAAGTGATTTTTCGCTCTAAATTCTGTCCATCTACAATCAATTAATATTTGACACACTAATTTGGGATGTCGGATTCAATATTTCCAGATTTCATGTCTTCTAACATGCCTACTACAACCAAATGCAAGTTATTGGACGTTTAACTTCTTGTCTATAACGCTATCTATAATCGCTTCAGATTTTGTTGTCAGTTTTATTTTTTCAATCCTCTACTCATTTTAATGCTTGATCACTTTGAAAGAAAGTTGGAAATCTGACTGATTTTGTGGTCTGATCTATCTATCGAAAATTAGTTCACCGTTGGAAGTATGTATGCTTTACAAATGTCAAAAGAATCTGATCAAGCTTCTGCAGGAGCTTTGTTCTTAACTTTCACACGTGCGTAATCCTCTTCAGGTCTTTTGATCGATTTGGCAGCTCTTTGATGATTATCTGCGACGAAAATTAGAACTTACTTGTGTAATGGGTTTAGCTCTCGCAACTTTGGTACAAGTGAGTGAATTCCATTCACACATAGAATCTATGCAAGCTTCTATGGGTAATGAGAACTGATAGTAATCATTATGGCTTGTCTATAGGTCAAAGTTACTTCGGACGCAAGTGAACATATGCACGTAGATGTTGACTTTCATGAAGATATGGTATGCTTTTCCCTCCCTGAGTTCCTCATTGATCTTCAAGAATCGAACACTTCACTTGTGTTTTATGGATAACTGAAATGTTTGATGCTCTCATTCTAGGCTGAAGTGCCTCGTGAAGCAGAATTGGAAGGTCTAAAAGCGGCTTCTTGGACGTGTTTTGCCAGCGTTTTGTTGGGTCAGTCCAACTCTAGCAATTGACTTGAAATAAAAGACATACTTCAAAGTCTTAAGTTTCACAGATAAACTTTTGTGAAGCCATTGATAACTAATCAATCTGGACATCTCTTTTGGCTGGTGGGATCTGTCTTTGATATCTTGATTTAACAGCTACTCAGATTGCAATTTTCTGTTTAAGAGGTATGGCAACTGTCGGAGGTCAAAAGTATAAAGAAACCATAGCTTTAGAAACACATATAAAAGATGAAGACTTCTTAACAAGAACTTATACACAAGTCACGTACAACCATTTTGGTTTTCCTCCAAAGTCACCACCTGAAGCTTCTTCCAAATGAGTAAGACTCATCAGAATTCTGTAATTGATCAAAACAAGGAGGTGATAGAATTCGCACCGCACAAATATATTTATGAATAGAACTCGCTTCTTTTATGTTGGTTGAATTGTTTTTGTATTGCAAACTGTATGTCAAGACTGAGAATTTCTTGTTTGAAAGTTCTCCAAAGGGGTATATGTAAATAATTTCACTCCCTGGTTTGTTATATAATATTAAAGTAGAGAGTTCAAGACTTTGGAAGAAAGCACAAAGACCTCTTTACACACAACTTTGATGTAAAGAAGTGTGCCTGCAATCAAGACTATCATTTCATAACAAGAAAATTACAGCCGTTGTGAGAACTATTGGTAAGTTTTGAGGTGATGGGTGTCGCCAAGTTTTAACTGGAGTTTAATCTTTAGTCCAAAACTCAGTTTTTTTTGATCTCACAGGCCTAAACCTTGTTTTGGCTCCTGCAATATGCTTCTATCCACTAAATATCTTTTGTAACCGCAATTTGAGTGACTGTACTACCTTTGCTAGAAAGGTTGCTCGCGCGACCGCAGATGAGAAGAGAAGAGATCCTGAATTTGGCCGCAGCCTGCTGCAAAGCCGCTGCGCAGCCCAAATCCAAAATCGGCCCGATCACAAATCTTCAACAAAATCGACTTGACCTGCTGATGGTCTCTGTCTTTGCCACATTCCGAGACTCATTATAACTATGCTTACAATAGATTGAGAACTTGGGTAGACAGGATCAATCATGCAGCGGAGCCCAGCTCTCATTCGATGAAATCGAACATGCACCTCAGTGCATATTCTTAAAGTCTATCTGGTGCAACGGTTTGCTGCCGTGGTCCCCACTGTTGGAACCGACTCAATACATAGTAATGTGTTCGAGCCGGCGTGCTCTTTTGTCTTTTTTCCACTTCGATCTCATTGGAAAAGGACAAGTCTTTTTTTAAAAAAATCATTTACATATTCTTCTTGCCCAGTCAAGAGCTCAAACGAGGTTATGATATGAAAATGATCGCACTGACACAAAATGTGAATCTGATATGTCTTTCAAATTCCAGCAAAAAGAGTCAAGCAGCCAGCCTTGAACCCATGCCAGCCAGACTGCCACACGGGCACTCGGGCGGCGCCAAACTGCTCAACCAGTACTGCTTTGTGCACACACTCAAACCAAGCACTTATCACACTGGCAGCCCGGTAGAAGTCGCGCAAATTCGCTGTATGCTTGATTTAATCATCATGAGCTAGATGTGTGTGCTTTATGATCGATCTCCCCAAAGCCAGAGATCAGCAGGTCAAGTCGATTTCGTTGAAAATTTGTGATCGGGCCAATTTTAGATTTGAGCTGCGCAGCGGCTTCGCAGCAGGCTGCGGCCAAATTCAGGATCTCTTCTCTTCTCATCTGCGGTCGCGCGAGCAACCTTTCTAGCAAAGGTAGTACACGTTTGATGAGCTAATGTATAGCAAATCTAGGTAGTCCCGACCCGAAGGCCCAAGACTTCCAGTGTACGGGTTTCGGAGAAAACCCCCTGCTTCATGGTAATCTGTGTTTAAGTTATCATGAATGCAGGGCGAGTCTCTTCGTCGAATCTTCAATAAAATATCTCGTTTAGGTACAAAGAAAAGATACCAGTTTCAGGAACTGAACTGATGAATTTTATTCGCACCAGCTATTCCAGTCAAGACACGACTGATGAGCTTTGTAAGCTAAATTGTGTTTACTGGAGAGATATCTTAAGAAAAAGATTGATCGAAAGGACTCTGGGTTCTAAAGAACACACTCGAGAGTTTTGCAAAGAATTTGATTCTTTTAAGAAGAATCCAAATTCTCTGGTTAAGGTTTTATTATGGATCCCACTATTTCTCGCCCCCTCGGCAAGTATCCGTCGCCCCTTGTCGGACCGGAGATGGGGCGACAAGCAATTCGTCGCCCCATTTTATAAAAGGGGCGACTAAAAGGGGCGACTGGTTTATTATACTTTTTGCTCCCATCCTCCCTATAGTGCGATGGATGGCTAATGTAACTAGAAGTCGAGGGACTGTAAATGTAGCTAGAGGGACTGTATTACAAACTGTCCATTCTTGAATACGACCACCACCACCGGGGCCAGGATCCAGTTGGATCCTGGCCCCGGTCATCGAACAGCGAATGTTGATTAGATCCTCTCTCAAGCTCAGATTTTCTCATCAAAACAAGAGCGAGAGGAACGCGCCGACCATGGGTGCATAAACATTTCTCTTAAATTGGCATAAGGGGGCATAGATCATACAACAACACAATAGTAGATATCAGAGGTGAATAAGAACCAAGACATCACTTGAAGAAGAAGTGAAAATAACAAAAGTACCAACTACAGGAAGTTGAACAGAACACACATAAGAACAACCAAAAAGATGAAGTACAAACAAAAGAAATCATGAAAGTACATCATGAATAAGGTATCCATTGATAAAGTTACTTATCATCTCGATGAGCCCAAAGATCCATCTGGACTTGATACTTGTGAATCCAATCCGGAATCCGAGTAGTGGTGATGGTGGAAGTCTGGGACTGTCCGTAAATCTCTGGAAATGGGACCAACCCTTTATCAGTACCCAACGTAACAAAATGATGACCGTTTACAAATGCAAGAATTATAGGAAAATTCTTATTAGGTCGAGTACGATATGGAAAGAATGTGTAACAGTTCGAGTCGGTTGGATTGAAGAGGATCACTGGGCACTCGTATGCACTGGCAATGACGTAGCCTAAGTAAGGCATGCGCATCCAATACTCTTCATCGCATCTTTCCCCCTGGGGATTGAGCCGGTGAAGCAGGTCGTTGACAATTTCCGTGGCGGCGTTGGGCGCCGTAGCTGTACGGCGAGTCTTAGTCCCACGAGGCTTCATTCCCGGCAGACTAGCAATCAGCTCCTCGTGTTCACAACGATAAGTGAACAGTTCGTCGCGCAAATGATGACGGACATGGGCATAAGCCTCATCATTATAACAATCGAGTGCTTTGGCAATCACGTAGTATCCACAATTGCCATAAGCTGGTGGATCAAAAACTGTCTTGATGAAAGGAACAATGACTCGAGGAAGTTGATCCAAATATTTTTGTTCGGCAGTTTGGACCTGAGCACTGGTTGGTAAAGCGGGCTTTGAATTATGAGCTGAGGACGGTCTAGATATTGATGAGGCGGCAGAAGCTTTGGGCTGGACATTGGGTTCCCTTTGAGCGACGGGCTTGTGTACTTTCTTTGCAACCATTGATTCCTCTGGCATCGGAAACACTGCCGCACCAAATGCACGGCTTCCTTCCAAAATCACCCTAACATTAGGATCATTTTTATCTAAGTTGATATCTTCAGCGATCAAACACGAAGCCACTTCAGGGATAAGTACTCTTCGGATGAAGTAATCGGGAGTAAGAGGTGCCGCTTTGACCGAGTCAAGGTGATGTGGCAATGATGGGTCTTCGGTAAACATATTCTCAAGGGTTCTGACGATGATTTCGTAACCTTGATATCCATAGCTAGGTTCAAGGTTGAAACAACAAAGAGTCACGACCGATTGAAGTCAGTTATTGCTCTGAAAAGAATAGAGTAGTAATGAGACACTCACTACCCGGGTTGTTCAACGTCAAAGTTGGCCATGTCACTCCCCATTCTGCGACTTCCACCACCCTTACCCTTCTTCTTTGCTTCTTCTAAGAAAGAAGATGATTCAACTCGGTCGACTATTTTGCGCAGAACATAGGCATGTTTTTTGATACGGCTGTAGAACCATCAAAATGAGTTATTCAGTGAATCATTCATAAAGACAATTTTCTCAATGGAAATGACCAACCTTTCTAAGCCTTCAAAATCAATGACGGTTGGCCATCCTTCAGCAATCCCATGTGGAATAGTTGTGCATTCATCCTGATGCAATTGACAGAAGTCTGCTGTTTGAGAGAACTGTTGAAACATTTGACATAGACATTAGTGTTCCGTCTCTTTTTTGAGTAGCTTGAGAAATACTAACATTCAAGGACATAGCTCCACGACGTTTGTTGAGTATTTTCAAGAGAGATGCTTTCATTTCAAGGAGCTTGCTTGAGGGGTTATCAGGGAGTGGATCATCGCAAAATGGACACAACTCTTTGTCGTCCTCAGATTCAGTGTCGGAATTGGATTCTGAGGTTGAGTCATTGAGTGCAAGGTTGATTTCGGATTCAGTTTCTGAGTTTTCCTCTTCCACAACAGCAACAGATTTGGAAGAAGTGATTTTTGAGGTTGATATACGTGATTTTGAGCTACTTGATGGGATCGCAGACTTGTTTGATTGTGATTGGCTGAGGCGGTGAGGGCAGGTGGTGATTCAATGATGTGGTGATCTACAACCGCTGCATTTATTGACTCGATTTTTCTTGCGATCTTCTTCCAATTCTTGATTTGATTTCCATCGACCTTGAAGACCTTCCTGAGACAAAGCTGGCCGCTTGGAAGTGCTAGCTCGAGGACGGCCTCGAGTATTGGTCTTAACTTCAGCATTGATAATGGGGACCAGTGAGAATTGATTGGTTTCTAAGAGGGAAACCTTGCTAAACAATTTGTGCAGAGCATGCTCAGGCAAAGTCAAAAGGCGGTCAAATCTTGTGCGTGCAGCTGTAACTAGGCCTTCATGACTTTTTGGAGCCAAATCTAATGCAAGCTTCCACTGGTCATGAAATAGTTCGGCGGAGATGAATTCAGTATTTTCGCAAGCCTCAGCAATCTTGTGTGAACACGGTATACCCCAAGCGCCTCGGAAAGAGTGTGTACAAGGTTTTTGAAGGGAATCGGGTAAGAGGTCATACTGAGCTTTCGCTTTTTTGAGTGCAAAGTGTGATACTATACCATTGAGGTCTTTAAAGAGAGGTGGCATGTCTTGAAGAGTTTTTGTTGTTTCTATACCAACTAGGACTGATATTTCATTCATTTGATGTTCTTCATATAGTTTGAATGCATTGAAACAAGTCAGAAAGTCGTTGTTTCAACCGTCTAGGAACCGTTTAGCTCTGAAATGACTTCCTTCAACTCGAGAAGTGGACGAGTTTCCAAAGTGTGATGTCTTTGATGTAAACAGAGTGACAAATTTTTCGGTTTGATGTAACCAGGTACTTTCAAGATAATCAAAAACATTGTGGGCTTGGGCTATCTTGGTGACGGCTTCGAGATTAGTTTCATAGTCGGCAGTTGTATTTGAAGCAACAAACACATTCCATAGCTGCATGAAGGCTGTCCATTCCGGTTCAGAAAACTTGCTTTTGCAATTTTTGGCGATATTGATGTTGATGTGCCAAACACACAAGATGTGTGTGGCCTCAGGAAAAACCATAGCTATTGCGTTGTAGAGGGCCGGTTCAGCCTCCGTCGCAAATGTCTCTGGTGTCGGTACAGTTAAATTGACATCCTCATTTTGATAAATAACTTCTTTCAGCTGTGTCAAAGCCCATTCGTACTGTTCTGTTTTTTCGCTATGTAGAAAACACATTGCAACTGTGAAACTTCTATTGGTATTTGTTGTTCCGACTATGTGTAAAAGGGGAAGGTTGAATCGATTAGTTTTATAAGTGCAATCAAGGGAGAGTACAGTTGTAAAACGTCGAGCTAGAATGATTGCAGTTGGACTCGCGAAAAATAGGTTCTGAAGGGTACCGTCTGATGCAGTGAGAGTGCGATGAGCCCAATGGCTTGAGACAATTAAATCAAATAAACCCTGAATCGGTGTCCGGCCATCTAGCCAGTTGTCTCTGAGCCGGGATCAAAGGTTGTGGATATCACGTACTAATGGTTGTGAGCCAGGTTCCACATCAATCAATTGTCGAATCTGGTTGGATCGACAGCCGGCAGATGAGAGAAGTGAAATTTGATCCTGAATAGCAGGAGGGAAGCGTCGGTATACAGACAAGTTGTGAGGTTGATCGAATGGTGGGTGGTTGTGATGGAGCTTCGCAACTTTCTTCTTATCGTGTGAAACTACCCATCGATCAGTTGCCGCTCGGTAGTTGAGTGACATCTCAAATAGACATCCAGTCTTCTTTGAAGATGTTGAACGTTTCTTCTCAACTTTACCACCTTGTTTACCACCCTTTGCTTTTTTGGCTTCACATATTGATTTGTATCCTAAAGTGCATTGGAGGTAGATTCGAATTGACCGTTTATTTTTCTTTTTGTGGCTCTTGATGTATAGCGCGTACCCTTGATGTCTGGCAACAGCATTCATGTACATCACACCTGAGCTAATTTCCCGGAATTCCTTGCCAATGATCGGAGGCCTCAGCAAGCAAACCGGTGTCGCTCCTATAACATACATATGAACCACATGAGTAACAGATATATGATTAGATTACATGAATCATTACAAGTTAAAGGTCAACCATGAATTTGTTTATCCGTATGATTTTCATATTAAAGGAGAACCATAAAATTGAACAAAACTGGAAAGATACACCATTAGTGCAATTTCCGAGTTTTGCACTTTGTCAGAAGCCATTTTGAGATCCATTTGTGGTTCCCTGTATCCAATTTCCAAATGATCTACCAGCTACATATCCTCTTTTGACCCTAATCAATCCAACTTTGCGATTCAATCCACAACTAGCCAACTTTCCTGAAGCATCCGATGTCAATCTTACATATATTCCTCACACGAGTCTCCTTATCAATGGATCCAATGAAAATCCCAGCTAAACATCATCCAAAATCTAATCAGAATCATAAATTGGTCTAATCAATCTTTCCATCCTCTATCAATCCAGCTCTGTATTTCAAATTATAAACAATCAAGCTCGTTTAACTGACATATTTCTGATATCATTATTTTCTAGGTATATTATGTTTGAACTGCTGTTAAATTCATTCCGACAACCCAAAAGCAAGCCCAAAAAAACTCCATCACCCCATCAAACGTACCAATTCAAATTCATATTGTCTCATCCCCTACCAATATCAGTATAAGAATTTCAGATCGCGCAGGAGGAATCAAACCTTTATTCATATAACTTTCTAATTTAATTCCAGATGAAACAGATGATTTTCCTCCTTCTGTTAATCAAAAAGAATTATTTTCGTTTTCACATTTAGTTGAAGGTGATAAAAACCAATATAGATTAACAGGATTAATTAAGACTGGAGGATTAGCTGGTAAGGTTGGAGAACAAATTAAGCATAAGAAAGAAGGGGATGAAGGGGCTCTTGAGGATGAAGGGAAACAAGTTCAATATGCTAGGTTGAGGATCGGATTACCTTCGTCTTCTATCTTTGCTCAATTCTTTGGTGAACAAGAAACTCCCTTGCATCTTATTCTCTTTTGTTAAAAATCGATGTTTATTTACTCTTTCTCTGTTTGTTTGTAGGTGGATCACTTGACGCTCTCATGAAACTTTCACCCAGATTAAGCATTGAAAACTTAAGGAAATCAAGTACAATCAATAAAGCGAATGGAAGATTTTATACAAATAACCATATCTTTCGTTATGCTAATCAATTCCATTTAGTTCAAGACAATTGATTTTTTTGGTGAGATGTCAGAATCTAATGAAATCGAAAGTGGTTTAGAACATCAAAAGAGATTAGTGAGAGGTGCCAATTTTGTTGGTTTGTTATTTCACTTAATCTTTTTTAACCGATCATCTTAACTGGCTTTAAGTTTTATATTCATGTTTCAATTCTATATATTTCGATTACTTTCGGATTTCAATGATTTTGTAGATTCGAGTTCAATTACCAACACAAATTGCTAGACGGAAACGAGACTTTTGATCACTTCCATATATTGTGGCATCTAATCGTCATCCTACAGATGCGTTTGATAAGATGAGATTGTATCCTCCTATCACTGATCAGCAAGATAATCAACGTTGGTGCGAGTTTCTTGAAGATTTACTTAATCAACATCGGATTGGGATCCCTCAGGTATGCTCATTCTTTTTTTCATTTCTGAGTTCTATTTGTAGTGATTAATGAGCTGTTCGATCGTCTTTTTTAGCTCGCTATTGGGATTGCAGAATCTTCAAATTGTTTAACTTCTCATCAAATCAATCCTTTCATGACCCGAATGTTACAATCACGTATTTCAAGACGAGTATTTGTTAAACATTCAACAACATTAATGGTATGATTACGCTTACAAACTTCTATTATTCAGCTCAAGCTGCTTTCAGGATTTAACAATCAATCGTCTTGGATTTGGAGAAACCTAGAAAAGATCGTTATAATCAAATGGTTGGTCATAAGTTTCTTTCATGTGTCTCGGGTCCGAGTTTGACTTACTTCTTTGAACAATAACTTCACCAATATTTCACAGGTTGAATAAGGATCAAAGAAACAATCGCTTTCAAGTCACAAGCACCATGATTAATGATTCCAGATTCACACTTCATCATCAAAATTGACCTATACTCAATCACCGTAAATTAATTAGACCAGATATTGACTCCAGAACCTCATTCAGAAAATCAAGCAACCCTTAGATCTGATGATAGAACAAATCAACAACTTTCTCCAATTTTTTGGTCTCAAAAACTGTTCACACTTTGCCATCATTAACATTCAAATCTGATTTGAATCTCTTCCTTTAGATGTCAAAAGCTGCGAGTTCATACAATGGAAGTGGTTATTTAGCAACAACTGATTGTAACATCTCGTGTAGTGTAAGCCCTTTTCAATTCATTGATCAACTAATCTTTAACTAATCTTGATTGAAATTGTGATTTTAGTTATGATCCTAAACCTTGATCACCTGCCAATTCATCATCATCAACCCTCAACATCGATTACAAAATCACCCATTCTCACTCTCACTCTCAACTTCATTTACTTCATCTGTTTTCACATCAGAATCATATCTATATCGATCAATCCATCAATTGCTTTTGCCTTGCCTACTACTCAACCCAATCAAAGCCTATGATTTACATATCACCGTCTTACAATCTCATTCACTTCTTTCCATCACTGTCCCAATCTTGGCAGCTACTATTGAATTAGGATGAGCATGTGTACCAACCTTAGCTTCAGAGATCAGAATCTCAGCTGCAATCTCATCCAATGTTGATTATCAACTGACCTTACTTTTATAGCATCTCAAACTGCTTTAGCTCATTTAGATTTATCTTATTCAACTTTGATCGATTCAATCCCTCATCTTAATTTTGAATCCCAGTTAGATTTCAATTTATCTAGAATCGATTCAAATCAATTCTCAATATTTAAATCAATGCTTGGCTTATCTTGATCTCACTCGTGATGTTATAACGATCTTTAAATCCTATAGCTGTTCAAGCTTCTCCAAATTATTTAGTAACAACTTCTTTAAATCAACCTGCAATATGATCCATTTTCATCATTAATGTTGAAGGCGAACAGTGAATTCCAACAAAATCGACAAATGCGAACAAAATCGACAAATTCTCGGTCCTTTAGCTGTAGAATTCCCGGTTTTGAGCAGCCGAAGTTTTGGCTTTGGGAAAATTACTTTCAATTCCCTTATATTGATTCTCTGCCAGTTGGTACTAACCTATATCAATAAACCAATATAACACTACTCACCTTCTTGGCGGGCCTGCGATCAGCATCATGGACACAAGCAGCCTTCATATTTCAGCATTTTCAATTGGCTTCAAAACTTACAGGGTGATTTGATCATTTTACTAATTGAATTTTGAATAGGGCTTTGCCGCCGTTTTCTTAGGACACCCTGATCGATCAAATACCTTCACTCTGGAGTCTGATTGATCAATTAAGAATCCTAAATACGAGCTTTTTGACTCGATTGACTTTGATTGTATATTCAGTTTATCGTGATCCAAAAATAAATCAAAGTATACTATTACTGATCTAGATTATCGAGTGTATTTTCATGCAGTTAAATCTGCCTTATGTTATTCATTAAGAATTGGTTCACCTTACAATCATGGTGCATTTACACACCTTTACTTCAATTATGATTGTTTCTTTAGATATTCAGATCGAGCAAGAGGATCAAAAAGAACAGCGGAAAGACAACAAAATATACACATGAAACCAATGCAAGAACTCTGATTTCAGAACGACAACAATCTTATGAAAATTAGAAAAAGCCAATCAAGTGGCTACAATTGAAATGATTGATTTACTTTTACTCTCTACTCAATAATTTTTTTGTCAAGATGTAGATCCAGCTAATTCGAATATATCTTCTACTCAACGTAAAAACGAGTTCTTGAGACGATGGGAATCTATGCTTGGGTTCTTTACTGCACTTAAATCATTCGCTGAACGGTCCAGTATTGATTTAGTTTATGAGAGAATATCTCTTCTACTCAACGTAAAACCGAGTTCTTGATACAATGGGAACCTATGCTTGGGTTCTTTACTGCGGTTAAATTGTTCGCTGAACGGTCCGGTATTGATTTAGTTTATGTGATTTGGTACATTTGATTCCTTTTTTTTTGCAAGTTTCTCAAAAGAGGGAATAGAAAAGGACATTAACCAAATCCTCTACTTTTTTTTTGCTTTTCTCTTTTAGTCTTATTTCTGAAGGTTTATTATTTAATAGATTAACAGAAACAGAAAGATCTTTACTTTTACAAATTTGGCTACTACATGCAATAGTTGCTGATATCTCCCCTTGTGGTTCAAGTGAATTCATGGTAGGTGTCTTAGTTAATTCTACTTCGTACTTCTTTAAATCGGACTAAATTTCATTTTCTTTTTGTTCTGTGTGGGGGTATAACAGTAAATGCATTATCAATCATCACTTTAACTGTAGCCCTGAAGATCTCATTCCCATAACCTCAAACATTCTGATACAAATCAATTGGTTAGTAGCAGCTTACCACCTTTATCTCAAAGTTTACTGATGTATTACAAGATAATGGGTTTATTTTGATTTCATTATTGAGTCAATTGTGAGTTCTGAATTCATCATTGAATGACTAGGGCAACTCTTGTACACCTAATTTTTCTCCTTTGGTACTTTTACATCACAGTGACTTATTGATACAAAGCCAAATTGGAAAAAATAGTTGACTAAAAGAGGATCAATCATTGAAGGCTCAATAATCTTGGTAGAAGAAGTGATCAAGAATTGACTCTCAGCCCAAGACTTTGAGAAAGTCCATGATACAATTTTTGATTTACTTGAAACAAAAGCTTTTGAAGAGTATTGTTACGCCTTTTACACAGTCTCTCTGATTTTACTCTTTACCATGTAGACTGATGCTATTATATGATTTTTACTGATAATAGATGTGATCCTAATTGTTACTTGATGTTCAAGAGATGTTGACCTGGCTTATCATGTATCACACCATCAAAAATGAAGTCTGAACTATGGGAAAAACTCCAATATTCAATGTTACATAATCTCTTTGTCATCTATAGACAACTTTTTTTGTTCTAAGCTGTTAACTTGATTTAAATGGTGATAGGAAGAAGGACAATTATCACAATTATGATGTAGAATCTCATGATCTGTGACTCTATCAGAGCAAACAGGCCTCAAGATTCTCAAATCCAGATCAAGGTCATTTTGGTTAGAAGGAATGATGCAATTAGATGAGGAAATTTCTTTATAGATTTTAGATCAAGTTGTTGATTCATTTCATACTACTTCTTGAGGGATTGAAACTCTTTAAAGGATTAAAACATTTGTATAATTTATGTGAAATTATAAGTCTCTTATCTATGGTCAAACTTTGTGAGTAATGTTGATACTTCTTTTTTGGTACATTTTTAAAAAAAGCAAATAAAATTTAAAATTCAATCTCCTTTTTGGTTATCTTTTATTAGAGTCAGACTATAAGAGAACTGAAGTTTTCAAAATGATCATAGTTTGTGAAAAGTATCAAGAAATAATTATCAAAGAAGGAGAAAACAGGTTTGGAGAAGTGAAGAAGGTAATAGAATACAAGATTAGTCTTAAGCTCCCTCAATGGGAATGTACGATGTAAATATTAAATCAGGAGAAATTAGGAGATTATCTTTTCAGATTCAGTTTGAGCATTGCTAAACCAGGAATTGATTATAGATCTGTTACCAAACTGAAATTGACTTCAACCAAAGTATTAGGGCCCGTTCGGCTGGAAACCAAATACAATTTTTGGCCAGATACTCCACCAAAGCCAAAAAACGTATTTGGCCAAATATGGTTTTTGGTTTTTGACAAAAAGACCAGCGTTTGGCAATGGTCTTTGATCAAAACCAAAAACCGTTTCTGATCAAAAAATCTTCAATTTTGAAAAACAGACCTGAGGCTGTTTTTGAGACCAAAAAGAGGTTTTGGCCTCATTGGCCCCTCCATTTCAATATTTCATGGACCTATTTGGTTGACTGTTTGGTAAACAAAAAACCCAAATTTCAAGTTTTTCAATCCGCCCCTTGAAAAAGGGGCAGAATGAAAAATTGTTTTTGTGTAACAAATTCATGGAAAACCGGCCAAACAGGCCCTTATCTCATGAATACTTTTACACTAATAAACAAGATAGAGCCTGGTCTGTATGAACACCTGTTCCAAGTAAAAAAGAAAATAGTTGTTCATTCTAGAATCAATTTCAAAGTATCTAAAAATCTGAGACAAATTGATACCTCATATACTCTGATACTGCAACTGTTAGGGGGTTAGGCTTAGGGCAGGGATATGATCACCCCACTCCAAGAGTATGTGACATTATCTCCATTCAAATTCACCACCATTCCTACTGATCCTTGATCCCACCACATCTAGATCTTACAATTAGGATGGCCTCCATACCCCACCCCCCTTCCCCTTGGCTTGCTTCCAGCGGAAACAATTGACCAGCCCTCCAGCAAACATTGCAACTGCTCTGCTTGAACAAGTGTGAGCGGAGCAGTTTTTGCATCCGCTCCAGCCTCCACTATGTGGGGCAGATCCTGTGCAGTGCATCCTGGGGCAGAAAATCCCTGAGCAGAGCATACCACTGGCCCAGGTTGCTCCGCTATATAGCAGAGCATAACCTGGTAACCAGGGGTACAGGTTATATCAATGGTTTGCATTGAAAATATTCCTACTTTTGAATTTTAATTGCCTTTCATGAAGTACAGCTATTTCATTGTATGTTGAACATCAAGAAAAAGTAGGAAAGTTTCTTAGTACCATAAAGAATATTCAACATCAAAATTCACACTGAAAACAAATAAATACAGTTTTTGCTGGGTTAAATCTGGTTAAACAAAGGGGTTGTAATTTTTTTGTTTTTTCTTGAGGTTCAACATATAACAAAATAGTAGTACAAGATCAATCAAACTTCATTGATTCACCTTTTGAAAATTGACTGAGTCCTTTCATTGAATTATTATGTCCTTCAAGCCATGTGTGTGGCTATACACCAATGTGCACCACTATATAGTGGTTTCGTGCACAGGGCCACTATATAGCAAGTGCATGATATTACTACTGCAAATCCTCAAGTGAGAAAAACAAGAACAAGCACAGTGATTGTGCAGTGAGTCAGAGTGTAGCCTTTGCTCTCCCACCCAAACAGGTTAAAAACCTGTGTGTAGCGCAGCAATTGTGGTGTTGCTCCTTCACATTGCCTTGATTTGATTAAAGTTGCTTTTAAATGCAATATAACTGGCCTTTCATGGTGCTACTCACAATGTATACAGTGATCTCCATTTTCTTATGAAATAGATTCTGCTGTGTTGTACTCATCCAACCAATTGCACCTCATAATAAAGCTCTCCTTCTTGGTTGATTTCTGAGCCAGCATAGCCTACAGTATTCTTCACAAATTTGTCTAAAATGGGGCCTTCTTGTGAGTGCGGCGCCCGCCGCTCAATTTGGCTAGTAAATCTATTAAATGTGATGAAATAGACTTACCAATAGGAGGCCAATCTCCATCGCGTTCGTTGTCTACAAAAAGCTCTACCTCTTCATCATTTTGAACTTGAACTATAACTTGTTCATCATCTACCTCATTCATGACCACGTTCTCATTGAGTACAATTTCGGTTGTTGCCGGGTTGGTGCTTTCAGAAGCTACAGTTACAATTGCTTCAAGTGTTGCCTCCACAGTAGCCGGTGGATAGACAAGATTGACAATCGAGTTGGTGGCAGCAGGGGCGTAAAAGTGAGGACCGTGTATCATGGAAGGCTGTTGGAAATTAGCGAAGGTGGAAGCGGGGTTGTTCGGATAAGATGATTGATTACAAGTAGACTGTTGATTATAAGCGGGGTGATTCCATTGAGGAGGCATTTGATTACCAGATGGGACAGAGCCAGATTGCGCAAATTGAGTTTGAGTTGGAGGATGCGAACCTCCAGGTGGATGGTACCAATACGCAGGTTGATTGTGTTGGTTTTGAGACACAAAGTTAGGAGATTGATTGTGTTGGATGTGAGACGCGAAGTTGAGAGGTTGACTGTGTTGGTTATGAGACGCGAAGTTAGGGGTTTGGTCAATGTGTTGGTTGTGAAGCGGGAAGTTGGGAGGTTGGATGTGTTGGTTATAGTCGCGGAAGTTGGGATTTTGTAAGTGTGGGTTATTAACTGTGACGTTAGGAGGTGATACGTGTTGGACTTGTTGGTTATGAAGCTGGAAGTAAGGATTTTGTACGTTTGTGTTATGAAACGGGAGGTTGTAAGGTTGATTGGGCGCGTAGGTGTGATGGAGATTGAAATTGTTTTGAGTAGAAGGTTGATTAGACGTGTGAGGGTATTGAAGATCTGAGTTGGGATGAGTAGGTTGATTAGGCGTGGTATGGAGATTTGGATTACGTTGGTTTGGTTGTTGTACAGCTTCCGGTGTGATGGACATCGGGAGTGGGGCAGGCGGTTGTGGAGTGGACATTCTGTGGGGTCGATTGAATTGTTGTGGGGAAAAGTATGCAAGTTGTGTGTGTATGATTGTGCGTGTGTACAGTGTGATAATGAAAGGATCGACTACTCCCCTAAGATGCTA